ATGGAACAGTGCCACAATGTTTGATGTCCACTCTAGCTGCATTTGGAAGAGAAACTGTGACTCCAGTGACTATGACAGTTTCATTAAAAAATGCCAAGTCAGAGCAAACATGACTAGTAGCCCCACTATCTATGATCCAACTATCATGAGGAATAGCTTTTGATAATGATGAAAGACATTGATGTTGAAATGTGAGTTTATTATTCTCAAATCGAAGAGATGTGGATGGAAAAATGGATGGAAAAGAAGGAAAAGAATTGATACCAGCTGAGGATTGGATAGACATAGCACCATGTTCAGTGATAGAAGCCTTAGCAGATGGAATTGAACTCTCTGAAACATGAACCTGTGCATTCAGTTGTTGTATCAATGTCTGAACCTGATCATTGCTCAATGTGCTGACATCAAAATTTATTGGTGGAGTATTCGAGGTCGAAGCAGCATCAGTCATGACATTTGCAACAGCATGAGACGATGGCCGTGCAGCAGTAGTAGTAGACTGTCCTCGATACTGATATGATGAAGTAGGAGCTTGAAAAGATGTTTGTGGTCGTTGTTGTTGTGGTGCTTGATATCCAGAGAATGTGCTTTTGAAACCAGGGATGTATCCTGGGGGATAACCATGCAACTTAAAGCATTTTTGAACAACATGACCAGCCTGTCCACAGTGTGTGCACATAGGACGTGATGATGGCCGGGGTCGATAGCTACTATTGTTGTAGACTGCAGCATATGCACTATTATCCGATAGACCTTGATATATCATTTAATTCGGAGATGGAGCTTGATAACCCTGCATATTATCAGAAGCATGAAATACCATTCCCTCTGGCTTTGGCTTGATAGACTTCTGTCTTTCATCAGAGACAACCATGTTAAAAACATCTTCAAGATTGGGGATAGGCTTTAACATCAGAATGTGTCTCCTAGTTGATTCATAAGATTCATTCAGCCCCATCAAAAATTTTGTTACTCTGCTTCTTTGCTGCAATTTTTCCCAAAGTGCTGCTGCAGTACATTCACATCTTCCACAAGTACAAATCGGCAATTCCACATAATTTTTGTATTCTTCCCACAATGTTACCAATGCTGTGTAATAAGAAGCAATGGTCATTGAACCTTGTTGAATCGAGCAAAGCTTCTGCTGTATCTCATACACCCTTGGTGCATCATCTTGCTTGAATCTTGCCATTAGATTTTTCCAAATTCCCTCAGCAGTAGAGATGTATAACAAGCTCTGTCCAATCTGCTTATCAACAGAATTTATAATCCAAGTAGTAACAATGTCATTGCATCGCGACCAAGATCCAAAATCTCGATGGTCTTCTGCAGGTTTTGGTATCGTTCCATCGATAAAACCAAGCTTATTTCGCACATTAAGCGCCATTCTAATAGATCTACGCCAAGAATAGAACTCAGCTCCGGTTGAAAGACGATCAGAAACGATTGACATACCTGCGTGATCAGAATTATGCAAGAAGTACGGATTATCATACTGATCCGTCGTAGTAGTCCGAGTTGAATCACGAGTTGAATCACGAGTTGAATCACGAGTGGATGTTTGAGTTGTCATGATTATTGAATTCCAAGATGAGAAAATGCCAAGAAAAGATCGAATCAAGAGAAATGAAGATGAATCAAGAGAAGAAAGAAAAGAATGAGAGTAGCGGAAGTGAGAAACGAATGAAGAAGATTGGTGAAATTTTTGAAAAAGATTGAAAACAGATGACGATTTGAAGCACTCATTGATTAAATCGATCGATGAAGAGAAGTAAACGAAGCTCAGAGGACAAATCGTAGCTGAACGAAGCTCACGACGCCATGGATGACTGAGTTGACTCGGTTTGAGATGAGTGAGTGAGAATGAGAAAAGTTTGTTACAAAGTGTAGAGAGAGTTTAGTGCTCTGATACCATATTAACACTTTGATATATAAGAATAGAATTCTCATTAATGAATCATAAGACTGTATAAGAGTATTTATATGTACATGTATATTAAGAGTAGGAATAAGGTAAAGGAAACCTTATCCTATTCTAAGTATACAATATAAACATTATATGTTAATAGAACTAACTAAAAGAACCAATGCAATGACCACAACAAGTTTATTTTATTTTTTGTATGATTCCTTCTCTTAGGGGGAAAAATATACATATAGAGAACAAAAGAGAGAGAGAGACAGGCTGGGAGAGTGACACGGAGCACATGGAACCAGCTGATTCCAGGAGAAGGTTACAGCAACTTGGCCACGTGGGCTGCCAGGAGGAGTAGCATACACTTTTTCTTTCTCTGACTTAAATAAAATGTTCATGTATGAGCCAAACCCAACAACGCAAATAAATACCTAGTAAAAAATACTAACAACGAGTGTTTATTTAAATTCAAAATATTAAATTCCACCTCACCTCGAATACTCCTTCTTTTTTTTTTTTTTGTCAAAAAGAAATATCATAAAATTGCCCCCACTTTTTTTAATATATAAGAAAAAATACGATTATTATGATATTTGATCACCTTCCTACTTATCAGTATGGCTGATTCCAAAAATCAAACAAAGCCCTTCCGTATGACAAACGCAAAACAAAAGGATAAACCCACACAGAAAAAAAAAAACGAATACTGAAAAGAATCAACAGATCCCACTATGTATATGTTGTAACAACAAATGTCGAACTTAAGATGTCTTATTGAAAGCAAAGTGCTTTGCTTTTGGGTTAAGAGCCAACCAGAGGAGGACAAAAAAAAAAAAACAATCAATCAAAGTGTGACGACGCTTTATGCCATCATCATAAGGTTTACATATAACATGTACATATCAATTTCAAAGCTCTCTATTATATTCACTCCCCACTAATGAAGAGTCGAAGCTCTAAAAAGAACAAAAAAAAGAAGAAGATAAAAAAGTGAAGTAAGCAAAGAGACCGACACACCATCTTCTTTTAAAAAAATAGAACCATAGACGTCCGAAGTGTCGTGTCCTTCTTCCTCTTTGCCTTTTGCCATGTTTCCATATCATTTTCCAATAGGAAGGAAAAACTATAGACTACAAACATTGCAGAGCAAGAGGAAACCAATTACTGTCCGTGAATCTTTTCATCCCCTACTTATGTTTTAATTAGGATCACACTACAAACTATATAATGGGATAATTAGTTATAATTAAGTAAAAACAAGATGAAAGAATTATATAAATGGTAATATTAAAACAAAAAAAAGTCTGTACAACAAAGATTCTCAACAAATCTGAATGTATCTCCTATCTTCTTCTTCTTCTTCTTCTTTTCAGTTTTTTTTTTTTTCTTTTTATAAATTATTTCATGCACAGAACAATCGAATAGAATACAGAGGAGGACGAAACAAATTCCAAAAGTCTGTAAAAATCATTAATCATTAAAAAAAAAAATTGGAGAAAGAAGAAAGAATAAATATGTTTGGGTTGTCCGGTGAAGGAGATGAGAGAATTTACCAGCTGAGACTATAATATGTAAAAAATGTAACAGAGGAGAGGAGAGATGATGATGATGAGGTCATCAGCGTCCATACAAGTCATATGGTGCCCAAAGGGAATCAAGGGGACAAGGCCGTCTCGAATCTAACCGGAACCACGGTTTACCACTACCGGACCAATGAAGCAAGCTAACCGGGCCTGGATGTAGATCTCTACAGCTTCCTCTCACGTTATCTCCACCTAGCCCGTGCTGGTTCCACCGATGCTCTATCGGAGCTACTTCTCCGGCGAACACCAGCAAGAACGGCGGCAACGACCCCAGCTCGTATATCCTATCACTCTTCTGAATCTCCATCCATTTCTCTATCACCTCCGTGTACCCCACGCGCCTCCATCTCTCTAGATCCATCACCATCACCCCTGTGTTGAAGTAGCACGGCTTTCTCCCCGAGAATGCCCCGGAGAACCGCTCGTCTGCCCAGAACGCCGCCGTGAAATACTTTGTGAAGTTGGCGTGGCAGTACTCGGGGGCCCCGATCGTCTTCGAGCCCAGCTTCGTCTTCCAGAGCTTGGCGATGTCATCGACGACGACGAGATCGGAATCCAGGTAGATCACGCGACGCACGCAAGGCTCGAGGAGACCAGCCAGGTAGTTTCTGGCGTAATTCAACGGCTGCTCGAGCGCTTGTCTCACGGAGGTGGAGATGAGAGTCCGCACAATCTCAGGATCGAAGTAGTAAACCTTGAACCTCAATTCGGGGAAAGTCGAACGAATCAAGGATTCTAGGCCAGTCTCCGAGACGAGGAAATGGAAGAAGACGCTCTCTGGACACGACGTATGCTTCAGAATCGAGTGCACGGCGGCCACCGACCCTCGGAGGTACTCGAAATCGAGAGTGATGGCGACGTGGACCAAGGAAGGGTTACAGACGCCGGACTCGATGTCGGCGGCGGCGCAATCGGCCGCATTGCGGAACACGGGAGCTTTTCTGAAGGAGACTCTATGCGGCGGTGGATCGGAGCGGAGGTAAGCGTCGAGGTGAGAGGATCTGATAGCCTCCGCTGGGGGGAAGGATTGGAGAGAAGGAGAAAGGACGATGATGACCAAAGCGGCGGAGAATAAACCGGAGAATCTCATGATCCAAAGCATCCTGAGACGACCACGACGAATCCGTTTCTTCTTCTTGTATTTCAAATCAAACCACCGAGAGGCGATGTAAGACCGGAGATAAGCAGCTAGGGTTCCTTTGATGTCTGCCAGAGTTTTGTAGGTGAATGCATCTGAAGAAGAAGATGAAAAAATCCAAAATTTGAAGGTAAGAATCGGATTATTCTGGGTTCTGAGGGAATAATCAAAAATCGACAACTATGCCGTGGGATCGAAGCGACCTGAGAGACGAGGAGAGGAATAATTCTTATTATTATCCCTCAAATCGGAAAACTAAAAAAATGGCTTAGGAAGAAGATAGGCGCAGTTTAGGAGGGGGCGGTGCTACGGTGCGCCACCGTCTGCTCTTTTACGCCCTCTCCTTCTCTCTGTTTAGGCTCTCTCTCTCTCTATTTTGGCAATGAAGAAGAAGAAGATGATGATGATATGATGATGATAGGAGAATAAGCAAAGGGTGAGAGAGAGAGAGAGAGAGAGAGATGGGCTCTCTCAAAGACTTATTCCTTCAATTTCTCCTTAGCCAACAAACAATTTTTTGTGTAATTTTTGTTGTATTTTGCCTAATCATAGAAAATTTTATGTTTTCTCGACAGCCTATTCTGATGTGATTTATATATATACACACACACATTTATATTATCTCTCTCTCTATTCGATTTCTCTAACTTGTTTGATATTGAAATGGACGTTTATATGGAAAAATATCTTTCTACGGTAAATATATCTCTTTTAATATGCTCATATATCACTATACTATATCAAATATATAATCTGTTCATATATAATATAGTCTGGATATTAAAAATAATAATTATTTCCATGTTTTAATAATCTCAAACTTAATAACTAAAATTGATTTAATGATATTATAATTTAATCACAAATAATCTTTTAGACTTAACAATGAGTCAATTATACTATTTAAAATTTAATAATCATTAAGTCAGTTTAATTATTACTTTAAATATTATTAGATTATGTTTAATATCAAATTAATAGCACTTTAAAATTAACATACATAAAATTTTAATTTCATTAATTACTATAAGTATACTGAATTATGTTTTAATCTCAAATTAATCATACTTTTAAACCTATTTATATGTTAAAACCTTAAAACAAGGCCAAAACAAAAACCTGTTGTGTTCATTGTACTTTGATGTTATGTTTTGAAAAATATAGATGGAAAGAAAAAGAAGAAGAAAAAAAAAACTACAAACCAAACGTGAACCAAAATCCTAATCAAACAGCCATCGGTTGAAATTAGATATATGCCTAGTATACATTTCTTAAAATATATATTGCTGAACTTAATAAATAAAATCTATAAAAAGGTACAAGTGTCGTAAACCTAATAACTAAACCGAATTAAAAAGACAAACAAAGACGGAAAAAGATTCATGAGTTTATTGACAATTAGTACTTGATTTATTACTAATAAAATAATTAATGATATTGATCGTAATGACGAATAGCCAATTTAAGGTGTGAATAATTAGAGAATACTGTCAGTTTGGCGGTTAATGTGTCATCGTCTCAACACTAAAACCATCTTTGCTCACCTTTGACCAAAAGTGACTACGGATGTAAATGTAAGTAGTGGTGTCTTATTTGAGTATTACTACTACACTTCTTATCTTATGTAAATTGTTTTACTTATACCTAAATTTCAAGATTTATTTAATAATTTATAACGTGGAGACTAAGTACAGTCACACTAATTACTTCCCGGCTAAATACATTTGATATAAGATGATTATAAATAAATTTCTTAATTCAGTTGGAACAAGTAATTGTTAGTTAGGGATTTTAGCACACAAACCAAACCAATCTTCAATTATAATTAATTGATTGATTGATTCGGTAACAAGATAACTTAATTACATTCATATCGCAAGCAATTAAAGAAAAGAAGTATTTATATATATTAATGCGATAAAGTGAAAGATTTCGAGATCAAGTGAAGCTCATGATTCATGATTTATGAGTCATGAGTGGTAGATAATACGACCGTTACTTTCATGTGAACCCTTTGAAACTCTGTATTAATTGTTTCGATTTAGATTTTTCATTTGTATATATAATAATAAAATATATCTATCAGATTTGGATGTTTAACCAGAAACGGGACAAAATGGATTTGAGTTTTGCATATTTGACGAAACAATAATTATGTTAACAAATCGTTGTTGTTGTTATATACGCGACTGCATGTTACAATAATATCACACTGACTGCCTACGTACGTACTTATATCTTTCATTTATCATTGTGATTAATTGTGATTTAACATTGAGAGAACAATGTCGGTAACATATGGGAAGTCTATTCAAACCCAAAGACAACAATTATTTGTATATAAACCATCAGGTACGTGTAGCCTACTTTACGCTTCGTCGTTTTCATCTTCTCCTTTTTTTGCCAAAAAGCTATATATAATATTTTTGATTTTATTGTTTGAAAATATAAATAATATCCCAATATGACATTTGAAATGTCTTTCCTATTTTATATTTCAAACTAATTTATAATATTTATATATATATATATATATATATATGGTTTGTATAAGACAACGTAACTGTATATATATGTTCGTTTGTGAGGGACTAAGACGATTCCATTACACACAAGTAAACTCATATTTCACTATTGATAACAACCATGGATGGTTCATATGTCATTGTAATAACTATATTTATTATATTTCAAGAATTTTTATTAGAAAATGGATCGGACAATCCAGTACAAGTGTTCGTGGTACAAGATTATTATAGAATCATTAAAACATATTATTATTGTGATTTATGTGACTTTGTTCACTTTTATGGACCGACCACGAAACTCCATGTGCCACAACAAACGTTCAAGTCATTGCTGAGCTAATGGACTTTATGCTCTTTGGTCAACTCCTTGATTAGCTTATCTAGTATCCAGTAAACAAAATGTTATAAGATTCAATTATTTTGCCCAAAAAAAAAAAGATTCAATTATTTCAATATACATGTGTACAGAGGTAAGAGGAAGCTATATATATAGTCTTTTTAAAAACATTGGAAGAAGTTGTAGGACAACAGTTTTAAATGAATTTGAACGCATAGAATCGTTGAGACGCAAATACATACATTGGATCTATCATATCATCTATATATGTATCGTGGGGGACAAAATAATAAAAGTCCACTATTCATTTGCATCTGAAACTTCCGTGCAGCCGCTAACACTTGGGGGTCACAACTCACAACGATGGCTAGTTTACTTGAGACTTCGTATCCTAGGAAAAGCCACGTGGAAACTCGTTTATGTTCATTGCTTGTTCCATAAGTAATTTAACCTAGATATTATTGTAGAAGTTTACGAGTTGGCAATTACACTCTATTCTTTATTAACTTGATAACTTCGAGACGAAACCATCTAGGCCATATTTATAGAGTCAGGACGAGATGTGTAGAAGTAGAACAGTAGATGTTGATAGCAACTTCGAACCTTATGCTTAGTTTAGTACTTAAATATGATTTTCATCAGTCAAACTTTTTACAGTATCAATTCAGGTTTAATTGTATGAAACTAACATACCCTTTATTTTTCTTCATAACCAAGCTATTTGAATATTGGGAGGGAAATAATAAGGAAATAGCCATATAAAAACACCTTTTAGGCCCATTATAGACTTCAAAGGTTCATAAGCCCAAGTATTTAGGATAAGACCCAAAAAAAAAAAAAAAAATCCAATATGGTCCTTAGTATAATAAAAGTCATGCAACCTCCTTATACTTCTCGATTAGTCTGAGTCCAATATTTTTGTAGGAATACGATATACGAATTGCGTAACTACTATTCAAATGTTTAGCACGCCGACAAAAGATTAATAGAACAACATAATATGAAAATCTGTATATAATTATAAACGTTTGTTAATAAGATGTGTTTAATAGGATACTAGTATATACGTTTGTTATAATACTTATGGTTCATATCGGGGAGGTTAGGCCGACTCAGTAGTTCATATAAAGAAGCACATGATTAGGTAATTAAGGATCTTGTTTCATAGTTGTAGTTGAAAGAAACACAATACGTGCCTTGCTGACTCATTCTGATCCATCACCACTTATCCGCTACAAAATTAACCATATTACTATTAGTAACCCAAAACAAAGACCCTCCCTCTCCTTAAGAAGGTTTCTTTACTTTTCTTCCATTGAGAACAAAAGTGGTCAACTTAATTTCCACAAAACAGTCAACAAAATTAGTTTAATTATAGGTTACCTATGGACAAGATTCTTATATATAAATTTGTTGTACACATAAGATATGATTTGGTACAACAAACCATAAATAATCACACGATTTTAAATGCAAATTTTTACTATATTTTTCAGAATCATACAAAAATTCAATATAAAAAAAAAGAAAAAAACATGATAAATCAAATGAAAAACGCATTAAATAAAACATTACTACTATTTGGACCCACGGTCCACCATCTATTATTACTTTATTTTCTTTGTTTGTAGTACTATTTATTATTTCTATTATATAAAATAAAATTTGATACAGATCAAAAGCACAACTTCAGTCTATCATCAATCTCGAAATAGTAAATAGCATCAAACAAGTCAACAATTCAGGATTCTTTGTTGGAAATAATATAAGGAAGGAGAGAATTGTTTGTATTGTAATTTATATAATAAAACCTAACAAGAAGAAACAACAGAAGAAGAAGAAGAAGAAGAGACAGGGACAACCGCTGGTTCAGAAGCGAGCTTAGTATTATTAGGTGTGTCGCGGAGCACGAGATTCCCCTGCGCCTGTGCCATCAATATCGACTTGTAAATCTCCACTAGCATCTTCTCGTCATACTCCTTCGCTGGCACCGACCCGAATCCGGATCCACCGTATGCAGATGATGATCCGACGACCCGTGAGTTAGCCAAACGCAGCATCATCTTCACGTAAGAATCACGCAGCCACACCAGAAACTTCTTCGGCGACGCCTTTCTGAGGATCCTCAGTTTCGGACCAATCTTGATCCTCCAAAACCGTTTCTTTCTTCTGGTCGGATCCATTTTGACCCGTTTCCTTGTCCTTCGTCCCGGATTCTTCTCTGATGACGATCCATCGTCGAGCTTCTCGTATCCTCTCCACCTCCGCCAGTACCTCTTCGGCGTTATCTCCATATCCGAATGAGGAAACTAAAGAGAGACAGAGAGAGAAAGAGAGGTTTTTATAATAATGAGTAAAAGGAAGGAAGGAAGACAGAACCTACTAAATGGTTAAATCCACAACAGTGTGTAAGGCAGGGGCAGCTAGCTGCACACACGTGATTAGTTATACGCATCTTTACGGATTCGATTAATACGTGTATTATTATTATTATTAATTCGATAATACTAATATAAACGACCTTATAAATTATAGGCAGCTAGCTTCATATATACACGTGATTAGTTACACGCTTCTATATATATGTTTTTTTTTTCATTAATACATATATATGTTTTCCATTATGCATTCCGGTATTGAAACTGATTCACATTTTATTTATCAGTTCCTTTTTCTAACATCTTCTACTACTTTTTTTTACAAAAGTTAGTAGTGTTTCCAAATGTAACGATGTAGTATAAGTTAGTTATTAATATCAATAAATGAAATCCGATTCGTTGGCTTTTTGTTCGGAGAGGTCTCGACGCTTGTTGATTTGTTCGTCTATTTTCACCGGTTTGAGTGTGATCCAATTTGTGTTATAGATGACAACAAAAAGAAAGAGAGTAATAAATCCAACCATGAATGATCATGTCCCTCTCGGGACATCCGAGACAGTTTTTTTTTTTTAATATAACTTTTTTGCAGAGTTTTTAATAATTTCTCAACTATATTTTTGGAAAGACGACCTTAAAGATTGTAAGATACTAATGTTTTTTTTGGAAATTCTGCTGCCAAAATAAATACAAAAGTGCGAAAGTCTATAAAATGAGAGAGAGAAGTTTACAACTTATTTCAAATTATGAATTCATCATTCATGCAAATGATGTGTATATGACTTTTAAATGTATTTTTCAGCGCTATATAAATATGTGAAACTTTTAAGATATTGACTTTTTTAAAAGTAGCGGAGAACATACAATGAAAGCATCGGCCGAAAGTATCTTATCCAAAAACGAATGGTCCTGTGAATAAATGAAGAAGAGTTAGTGACAAACTAGGTAAAAGAATAATATTTAACTTGTATTTTTTGGATCTTTATGTCTAGTATTTATACAAACTTACAAAGCTAAAACCCTAATACGATAAAGTTAAATTTACATTATAATTATCTACAATATTAGGAAAATATCTTCAATACCCCCCCTCAAGTTGGAGCATGTAAGTTGTAAATGCCCAACTTGACAAGAAATGCATCAAATTCCTTTCGTCCTAAAGCCTTTCTAAGTATATCCGCTAGTTGTATCGTCGTGGGCACATAATTCGGTTTGACAACACCCTTAATGATCTCGTCACGAACAAAATGACAATCTCGTTCGATATGCTTTGTGCGCTCATGAAAAACCGGATTAGAACTAATGTGAAGTGCCGATTTATTATCACACTTAATCGACATTGGTAGGCTATGATCAAACCCAAGGTCTTGAAGAAGTTCTTTCAACCATTTCAGTTCCTTGGTCACCTCACTCATAGCCCGATATTCCGCCTCAGTAGTAGACATGGCGACGGTATCTTGTTTCTTAGTCTTCCAAGATATCGGAGAAGTACCCAGCTGAACAAACCAACCCGTAAGAGACCGACGTGTGAGCGGACAAGCCGAGAAATCAGCATCACACCATCCAGTGATATGAAATGGAGAGTTAGAACGGAGAAGCACACCCTGGCCAAATGTTCCTTTAAGATACCGCACGACCTGTAATGCAGCCAACCAATGTGCCTCTCGGGGAGTTTTCATAAACTGTGAAAGAATATGTACCGGATATGTTAGATCAGGACGCGTAGCCAAGAGATAAATTAAGCGTCCCACCAAGCGCCGATAAGACTGAGGATCAGAAAGCTCAGGACTATCGGTAAGAGCTAGGCGATGGTTTTGTTCAATGGGACAACCAGCCGGACAACAACCAAGAAGACCGGTCTCCGTTACTATATCAGTGGCATACTTCCGTTGACAAAGATAGATCCCCTCCTGGTTACGTGCCACTTCAATACCCAAAAAATACTTCAAGAAACCCAAGTCTTTCATATGAAAACATACCGATAAATAACTCTTGAATGCCGCAATCTCCGTCGGTGAATTACCAGAAATGATTAAATCGTCGACATAAACCAAGATGCGAAGAGAAACACCATTCTTAAAGTAGGTAAATAAGGAATAATCAGATCGAGTTTGAGAAAAACCATACTTAAGAAGAGAATCCACAAGTTTAGCAAACCAACACCGAGGAGCTTGTTTTAAACCGTATAAAGATTTGCGAAGACGACACACCCATGTTTCACCGGGAGACGAGAAACCTTGTGGGAGTTTCATATAGACTTCCTCTTCAAGATCACCATGTAAAAATGCATTATGAACATCCATCTGATGGACCTCATGATTTTTCTTAGAAGCAAAATCAAGAAACATACGAACGGTAGTCATCTTAGCAACGGGCGAAAACGTATCATTATAATCGATGCCTTCAGTTTGATGATTTCCAAGAACCACAAGACGAGCCTTATGACGTTCAATAGTACCATCCGAGCGAAGTTTGATAGTAAAAACCCACTTACTACCAAGGGCTTTCTTATCAGGAGGTAGTTCTTGGAGATCCCACGTATGATTACGGTGTAAAGCATCAATTTCTGAACCCATAGCAGCCTTCCAAACTTCATATTGCATAGCTTCATTGAAGGACCGTGGCTCGACATGAGACGTAAGAGCCACCAGAAAACTGCGATGTTGAGGTGAGAAATTTTCACAAGTATCATAGTTAGAGATATGATATAACACACCTGAGGAGAGCTGAGGAACCGATGAAGATGGAGAGAGAGAGGGTGGAGGTTGTATAATCGCATTGCCAACTTGATAGTCCTTGAGACGGACATTGGGAATTTTTGCCCGTTTCCCTTTGCCAAGGTCAGCGGTCACAGGTTCAGCAGGAGACGGAGGAGGCGAAAGAGGAGTGGTCGCAATGGGTGAAGGAACATCAATAGGAGTAGTAGAGGTAGACGAGTCCACATGAACGGAGGCATCAACAACAACAGTCACGGTCGGGTCTGGTGGATTCGTAACCGCAACTGGGTTAGAGATGAGATCGATATCATCATTGCTAGAAATAGGAGCAATAACCGGAGATGTAGTCGGAGGTATCATCGAGGAGGAAGGAGCGACAGTAGTAGCAAAAGGAAAGCAATCTTCGCGGAAGATAACATCACGGGAGACAAAAACAACGTCACGGTCGAGATCATACAATTTCCAACCCTTCTTGCCGTAGGGATAACCGAGAAAAACACAACGTCGACTACGGGAAGCGAACCTGTCACCTCGGCTGTCAATGTTGTGAGCATAAGCCAGGCAGCCGAGAAGCCGCAAATGAGAATAAGAGGGAGCACGTCCATAAAGCTTTTCAAACGGAGTGAGGCCAGCAAGTAAAGGTGACGGTGTCCGATTAATAAGATAAGTAGCATCAAGAATACACTCACCCCAATATTCGATAGGTAAGGAAGCTTGAAACCGGAGAGCCCGTGCGACATTTAAGATATGACGATGCTTGCGTTCCACCCGACCATTTTGTTGTGGAGTATAAACGCAAGAGGTTTCATGGAGAATGCCGTTTTCTTGGAAATAACGAGTAAGACAAAGGAACTCATTCCCATTATCACTTCGAACCGACTTGACCTTCTTGGAAAATTGTAGTTCAATCATAGCAAAGAAATCCCGGAGATAACGAGAGACCATAGTTTTATCGGGAAGAAGATATAACCAAACAGCCCGAGAATTATCATCCACAATCGTCAAAAAATATCGTGATCCACCAAATGCCGTAGTGCGATAAGGACCCCATAAATCAACATGAATTAAATCAAAAATCTCTTTTGCATTATTAGAACTGTCGGGAAAAGATTGACGAGTCTGCTTGGCTCTTAAACAAATATCACAATTTTTAAGTAAAAGCTCATAATTATTAGAAAACCGAGGAACACCATGGACCATTCCAGTAACGCGTGAAGACAGATGCCCGAGTTGTTGATGCAACAAAACTGAATTATCACAAACACGCGTCTGCAAGGCGTGCATTGTCTCAATCCCGCGAAACCGGTACAACCCCTCTCCCTCTCTTTCACCGGCTCCAATCAGCATCCTCGAAGTGCGGTCCTGCAAAACCATGACTTTATCGGTTACTTGTCCCACCAAGAAATTATCCGTAACAAGCTGGCCAAAAGAGATCAAATTGGTATGAAAGCCTTTAATGAAATAAACATTGTGAAGTGAAAGGTGAGAAGTAAGTCGAACTGTCCCTTGTTGGGAAGAAAGCACATTCTCCCCAGCAGGTAACAAAACCGAAACCGGAGCAACGTCTTTAATATCCTCCAATAATTCAAGACGACCCGTCATATGATGTGTTGCACCGGTATCCAAAATCCATACAATGTCATTAATCTTACCACTTAATTTCTCGGTATTCTTCTCAGAATTAACCACCCGTCGGATGAGCTGCCACTGATCATCCGTAATACCAAGATGACCTTGTCGATCACTATCCGTGATGTCAGCCGAGGAATCAACAGTCGCCGTATTCGCATTAAGAACTTGAGTAACATTAGCTCGTGGATGTTGGCCACGACCTTGACCAGTAGACACCGTTGGAGAGCTTCGGTTACGAGGTCGGTCGCCCCACCATTCGGGAAAACCAAGAATGCGGAAGCAAGAAGCCGCTTCATGTCCCATGCGGCCACAGGCAGTACACTTGCGAGATGGATCGCGATTTCCTGGTCCGGAGCGAGAATTGCCAGCAAAGGTCGTCTGAGGACGAGTAATCTCTCGTGTGGAAATAGTAGCCGGTCGTGGAGAGGAGGTCAAGAGTTGCGAGGCAAAGCTCATGACTGGAACTTCAGCAGAGACGGTCGAATGGAGTGTTTCGTTTTGAGTGATCGTCTTGTGCACCGTGTCGAGGTCGGGAAGAGGAGAGATCGCACAAATCTGAGAACGGATCGCACCATGAATGGATTCATCGAGGCCAGAGAGAAAGTCATGAATCCGAAGAGTCTCAAGCTCCGTCTCACGAGCTGTATTAAGGTCACACTCACACTTGCCACAGCTACACTTCTTCGAGTTCATACAATCAGAAATTCCATCCCAGATTTTAGTTAAACGACCAAAGTACTCATTAACCGTAGAACCGTTCTGCTTACAAGTAGCCAAAGAGTTGCGAAGTTGCTGAAGACGAGCACCGCTTTTAACTGAGAATCGTTTCTTAATAATCTCCCAAAGCTCCCGAGCAACTTCTCTTGTTGAAATAGTTGAACGAAGCTTGGGTTCAATAGTCTGTTTGATCCATCCAACCAACAAGTGATTGTTCGCCGTCCAATCTTCAAAAGTAGGAGAGTCTGCAGCTGGTTGAGCAATGCTGCCATCAAGAAAGCCAAATTTCTTTCGTGAGCTTAAAGCAATGCGGAAGTTCAGAGCCCATTCATCGTAGTTGGAGCCGTTGAGAAGAGGTTGAGAGATCACGGCTCCTGGATTGTCGCTAGCCGTGAGATCAAAGGGAGAAATCGTCTTATGGTTCGAGTTCGTCATAGCTAACGCCATGAGTTGTGAGAAACAGTAAGGTCAAATACTCTGTTTTAAAACCGAAAAACAGAGGAGAAGAGGAGGAAAACACGACGAGAGTCGAGTAAAACAAACGAGAGAGAGAAAAGGCCGAGAGGCAACAAAGAGAGAGAGAAGCCGAGAGGCAAACCGAAGAAGAGAAGCCGAGAGGCTAGAACAAGAGATTCGAGAAGGAAAAAAAAAAAAAATTGTTTTAAGAAGTTTCGTGCTCTGATACCATGACAAACTAGGTAAAAGAATAATATTCAACTTGTATTTCTTGGACCTTTAGGTCTAGTATTTATACAAACTTACAAAGCTAAAACCCTAATACGATAAAGTTAAATTTACATTATAATTATCTACAATATTAGGAAAATATCCTCAATAGTTAGCAATATTATTGATTATTATTATTATTATTATTTATTTTAGTTTTGTAAACTAGCGTTGGTTTCCTTGTTGTTTGATGATTTGATGGACAAATACTAGTCTACTATGTGATTCTTTGATATCTCAGGATTTGGTATATAGTGTCTAACGAATATCACATTAACTATATTGTTGTTAATTAGTAGTACATGGTAATAATTGAAGCGCAATGGCGTTTAGTGTGAATCGATATCACTATATTGCAATAATGGTGATGTGTGACGATCAATACTCCCATGGGGCCATCGCACATGTGACACTCCTCAGTCGCAAATCTGTTTTGTAAAAAGATATATATATTAAAGGGTGGGGGGTGAGAGATAGACAAGCACGCATGTTTCTAGTAATAGTGTAATTGTATAGTAGACTATTGCTTGCATCGAATCGAATATTATCGTGTTTCGAAATTACGTATATATAAAAATGTCTAAATCAAATAAATTGTAGCATGTTTTAGGTGAGGCTACATCGGTTTCACATGTACTACTAAGTACTACATTAGTAATATTTTAATCGTGGGAGACAATTGACTGAAGAAAACGTAATGGGAACATACATTAATGAGTTCGATCACTGAGCTCTGATTTTGATCTAATCGATAGATTCCTCGCAACACCACCGCACGCGGGAATTGCGTGCTCCATTGTCTTCTTTACACTTACTATAATACAAAACTCATACTCATACGTCCATCTGATTTTGTAGCCCAATGATCTCTTACCATGAGCCTAAATACTACCAACACTATTCAAACATTGGGCCGGATGCTTTTTTATTTAAACATGACCCAAATGTATTATCATCTGGAAGCCATTTTACAACCCATCTCAATATATCTCTTATTAAAGTTTCCCTTCTAAGATACATTACAAAATGACCTTATAAAAAGGCATATTGTATATATGAAAATTAACATTTTGATATTGTAAGTCTTATATATGGATTGATTCATTTTCCTTATACATTTCAAGTTTTTTTTGTTTTTTTTTCTTTTCCTAAAATTAACCACCATAATAAAAGAAAAAAAAGGAGAAGGCGCCTCATCGTTCGCAGAGCCTCTCACCATCTCCCCCTTATTAATCTGATTGTTCCAAAAATCGAAAAGAATCATCGAAATTCATACACCGGTGCTTCTTCCTTATTCGGAAGGAGCTCTCTCCAGACAGAGACAATGGACGGTTTCGGGTCGAACCAGAGAACACTAGCCGTTGATCGATGGATGGAGATCGTTAACGGCAAAGGTTACGGCGTTGGTGGATCAACACAAGTCTACTCAGCTCGACCCGGCACACCGGACTTTCAACTTTCTATTCCTCCTCCGCCCGGTGCGACCACGGCCTCCACGCATACAACTGCTGCCGCTCCGTGGAGACTAATCGACGCGGAAACAAAGAGGAAGAAGAGGATCGCAACGTACAAGGCTTACGCTATGGAAGGCAAAGTTAAAGCCACTGTCAAGAAAGGCTTTCGTTGGATCAAGAACAGGTATTCTCTGATTATTCACGGCTGATTCTTTTTCTCTTTTCCGGCGAATCATCATCACTCATGCCTTTTGTGATGTGATGATGTCCAAGGTGAACAAGAGATTTATTATATTATTATTAGAAGGAGTGGTTTATTTTTATCTTTTTTTTTGGTTTGGTCTTGAAAGCAAGACGACGTTGTTGTATCAGAGAATTTATTAATTAGTCAACAACGAACGATTCAGATCAAACACGGTCCAGGTCTGTGGCCCAATTGTCGATGCTTTTTGTTTTTTTTTTTAATAAACATTTTAACAAAGCCCATGTAATACAATACAATGGCCCATTAAGTTAGTTAGTACAAATAGAGATATATAATATTAAAAGAAAGAGATACAGTATGGGGAAGTGTGTTTTGATCTGCTTCTTTGTTTTATATAAAACAACCAAAGCACCTTCTACGCACGATCATATTTCATAGCCTTCGCACGTGAAGCCACGTCTGCTCTTATATTCTCCGCTTTACCCATACTAACCTTTACCGATTTACATTATTGCCCCCCGGGCTTGTGGAGCTATTTTAATTTTATTTTATTGTTGTCGTTAATCATTTGTAATTTTCTCCGGATTCTGCACGCACTCTCCATTATTTTATTGTTTCCAATAAATAAGTTGGTGTATACCAGAAAATAAAATAATGTCCTAGTTTTAATCATTTTGTACTAGTCATGCTCATGCATAGGTGTTTTAGTAATGCCATTGAACAATACGAATCAAATATTCAAATTCTAAGAGAAGAAACATTTGAAATCGTTGTTTACCGAATCGAAATAAATATACACGAACACAGACATGGTTTTTAGCTCATTTTATTTATTGAGAAACAGTTCCTTCAAACTATTTGAAAAATTAAAAATTGAAAAGTGGAGTTATAGCTTTTGTCAGATAAAGAAAAGAAAAAAAAAGGTGATAAGCCGACTTGAAATTGATTCTATGCTATTTATTGAATGTCCCTATAGTCTCTTTTTTCACTCATTGAGTTATAAATGTATTTTCTCTAAAGTCTATAAATAAATCAGAGGGTAAAATCGTAAAAGAGCAATGTAAAAATTCCGAAAAAATGAAAAAACATGGGTAGATTCTTCTTGTTTATTCTATTGGATGAAGCCTGCAGAATCCTAAGCAAACAACAACAACAACCATAGAGGAGTATTACCTTCTACATTTTTATCGAATTCATCACATGACTAATAATTTACGTGTAAATAATAATAATAATACTCCATAGTCATGCAAACAAACATGTCAGAATAATTTTAAAAACAATTTATGCAAAAAGATCGCGTATACTGTATTTTACTTTTCCTCTACAGGAAAATAGCATAAGAATATTATACAGAATTCATAAATAAAAAAAGGTTTTGAGAACCGCAAAAAATAAAAATAAATAAATATAATTGTCAATGAATAGTAAGAATAAAAATACATATAATAACATAGAAGTAAGAGAGTGCATTATACATATATCTCTCTCTCTCAGCTTCGTTCACCTCGCTCCTCGCGCTCTCTCTCTCTCTCTCTGCACACAAAAACATTTTCTTGAGAAAGAAGCCACAGTCACCATCACCAATCTTACTTACTAGTTCTACTACCTTCCTACTATGGATGTTGCTGAGAGTTTCGGCCATGGCGATCCTGAAACGCCGCGTTTCAGTGAGGACTTTGGTTCTGGCTCTGCTTGCTCCACCCCCTTCGTCAGCGCTCCTTCTAGTCCCGGTCGTGGTCCTCCCCCCGGTTACTTCTTCAGCGCTCCCTCCAGCCCTATGCATTTCTTCCTTTGCTCCGCTGCTTCTTCCTCGGACTATCCTAAAAAGCTCAACTCCTCTTCGTCTTCCTCATGCGGCGGCGACTTTGAGTTTGATTTCTCGTCGAGGCTGTCTTCGAGCAGTGGTCCTCTAGGCGGCGTTTCCATGACCTCTGCGGAAGAGCTCTTCTCTAACGGCCAGATCAAGCCGATGAAGCTCTCCTCGCATCTTCAGAGACCTCAGATCTTATCGCCGCTTCTGGATCTGGAGAACGAGGATGAAGACGACGACGACGACGAAGAGCCCAAACCAGACGGTGAGATGAACCGTGGCAGAGATCTGAAACTAAGAAGCAGATCCGTTCACCGGAAAGCCAGATCTCTCTCTCCGCTCCGAAACGCAGCGTATCAATGGAACCAAGAGGATGAAGAAGAAGAAGAAAGAGTCGCCGGGGAGAGAGAGGTGAAGGAGTGCATAAGGAAGCTACAGGAGGACGAGAACGTGCCTTCAGCTGAAACGACACCGTCTTGTTCAGCCTCATCTTCGCGATCATCCTCTTACGGTAGAAACTCTAAGAAATGGATATTCCTCAAGGATCTGCTCCATCGAAGCAAAAGCGAAGGAAGAGGCAACGCTAAAGAGAAGTTCTGGTCCAACATTTCATTCTCCCCTTCAAATTTGAAAGACAAGAAACTCAAATCTCCTCAACCAGCTGAAGAGAAGCCGATTCAGGAAACAGCTGAGGCCGCCGTCGTCGAGTCCAAGAAGCAGAGACAGAAACAACCGCCGGCGAGGAAAACTCCGACAGTCGGAAAACCAACAAACGGGATAGCGAAACGGCGAGGATCGCAGCCGTCGGCACACGAGCTACATTACACAACGAACAGAGCTCAAGCAGAGGAGATGAAGAAGAGGACGTATTTGCCGTACAGGCATGGACTCTTTGGCTGCTTAGGGTTCAGTTCCAAAGGTTACAGTGCCTTGAACGGTTTAGCACGTAGCTTAAACCCAGTTTCATCCGGTTAAATCATCGTTATTAGATTTCAGCAGCAAAAATATGTTCTTTTTAATGTATAGAGATTATGATGAACCCTCCTCCTATATAGTAGTAAGTAAGTAAGTAGTATATTGGCATTGTATTTTCTTATAAGTTCTTATATTTGATTACTATGATTCTCCTTTTTTTACTTCTTGGGAATGTATTATTCAGAATCTAAAAAATATTATTACAGTGGTGTGAGTTTTCTAGTAGTGATATGTTGTTTGTGGACGAGGGAGTTAAGGTAATGAAAACAATAATGGTGCGGGGTGGGGTTTTAGTTTGTTGAGACTTGAGAAAGAGAGAGAGAGAGAGTGCAATAATATTTTTATTTTGTAAGTAGTCTGTGAGATCTGCAAAATATAAAAAGAGATTAAAATGAAGTTTGGGGGCCATGAGTGAGTTGTTGTGTTTTGGAGTAATGTGAGTGAAGAAGAAGTTGAGAGAGAGAGCATCTTCTTCATTATGTTTAGATGACCCATTTTTGTGGTTTGTCTTATTGAAGAAGAACAACATTTGGTGATTGAAACTGCATCTTGTCAAGTCTTATCTAATTGGCCTTTTGCAAACTATTATTATATGCTTTGTTTCTTGTTAATATATCATTATCATCATCCCTACCATGAGTGTTTGTTTTTGTTCTTTCTTAATATGTCTCTTCTTGAGTTAAAATATCTACTCTTGATTAAACAACAAGATCTGCTTATCACATACAAGAGATGAACTGTAATTACCGAGTAAGGGAATAAGTAGAACGGTGTCGTTTTCTGCTGCCACTGCTGCGGCAAAAGTTGTAGTTGAAAATAAAACCGAATCCCGAATACAGCAGTATATATATGTAAAAAAAGGAGAGTGACGTGCACGTATAGCAAGCAAGCAAGCAAAGCAAGCAGCAGCTTAAAGGATCCACCGCACATCATAAAAACATTAGCTGTCTTATCTATCTGAAAATATACGATCCAACCCACATGAACTTGTCTCAATTCGGGCCCAAGTTTTTTCATTACAAGTTCCTTCTCTGATTATTTATTTTCTTTTTAGAGAAAAACAAAAGGAAATAAAAGGCCACGTGAGTTGTCGTAAGTAAGAAGAGAACAGACGAGCTCCATACTTCTAACATGACCCACTCCTCCTCCTCCTCTGAAAAGTGAAATATCTCTCTCTTCATTTTCCTTTTTTTTTTTTTGTTGTTGTTGGCTTTCTTCTATATCAAATAAATAATCATAATAATAATTTGGGACAGATTACATTAAAGACAGTCATGTCATGGGGACCTTAATACTTTATAAGCAGACTTGTTTTTATTTGTATCTTAACTCATTTGATTGTGAATCATCATCATCATCATATCACAAAATATATAATTTCTACAAAACGAAACAAATATTATATGATGAGAAAACACTATTAATCATTCATAGGACGCCCAGTCTAATATTATTTGCTCTCTCTCTCTCTCTCACAAACAAACAAACAATTTTTTTTATATTTTTTTTTTGACACTTTTTATAGATATATTTACAAAATTCATTTTCCTTTCTTTATGGGGACACAAATTTTAAAATCTATAATAATATTTAGCTAAAACAAAGGTTACCCCATATCACACAACTTCAAAACCACGGATACAACATTACCTCGTAAAATGATTCACATCTAAAGCCATCCTATATGATTATCTTTGATTACATTATACCAAGTAGAAAATGTTTTAGGGACAAAATTGTAAGTTACAAAAAGTTGTGGGGGGAGTCACTTCAATCAATCGTCTACGTAACTGTACACTTCATTGCTTGCTTAGCTGTGCTGATCTGATCTGCTTCACTGTTTCTGTGTGGGAAGTTTCTATTTCCGATACCAAATGCAATCTGTAATTTCTATTTTTTTTCTTTTGTAGAATAACATATTCAAATCAATTGGATTTTAAGAAAGTGAGAAAAGGTTTCAAATTTATATAAACGGATAAAACTTTTGGTATTTTGTGTTCACGTTCCCAACACAGTCTGAAACTTCACCAGTTCACCTTTCCGCTCGCGTTTGGTTAAACATCCACTAATGGGCTGACTATTACGCTATTTGAATGGGCCATTACGCTATTTGAATGGGCCTAATCAGAGATAGTTCCTTTCACAACGTAACATTATTGATACCCACCCGGCCTCCCGCCATCATTAAATCGACTTTTAAATTTAATTGCCCTTGTAATTCGTGATAGTTTCGTTACACTCCCTTACTTTTCAACTTGATCAAACTAACCCCCTAATTCAATTGAATATCCAAGGAACCGAAAGACCTCACTAAACAAATACCCAAGATCGCCATCAGGCATCCCAACTTAATGTTTTAGCCCCTACCTCGAGCCATTGGATGATTCTCTAGATGCATTACGGAATGGAGTAGAATCTGCAAGTCTTTTCCAAGAATGTGCTGCATCAACAGTTGCTTATCCAATTCTTTGTAACAGTTGGTGATTCTCAGACCCATTTCACCTTTAGAAGTTTCTTCCGCTTCCGGTGGTACAATCTTAGCCGTCCATTGAGAGTTATCTACGGCTGTATCTTTTAGCCTGGAGACAAAAACATAGGAACAGCTTTAGGGATTTTGAATCAAAGAACAATATATAAGACTGGTTTTTCTTCAGTTTTACTTACTCTTCCAGTATCGAATCTGCCTCGTTTAGGTTTTTCACTCGATATGACACGTCGACAGTGTCCTCCTTAACCCTAGCAAGACCCTCGAGTGGGCCAACCGACAGGCACATCGAGTGTATCATTGAATCAGCTGTTTTCGAGTTTAGATTACCAATCCTTATAACAACAACTGAAGAGGGATGGTTTGAGGAAGCGGAACCCTTGGACCTAGTTTCCTTTTTGGGCTCGGAACTGGGATTGATTATGTTTTGAGACTTAGATTTGTGGTCTTGAATTGGAGACGATGGCATGGTTGGCTTGGAAAATGAAACATTTAAATCCGCAACATCTCTAACTGGTGAAGAAGCATGTGTTTCAGTCTCTCTCTTGCCATTGATTTTCTGGTAAGAAAATAGACACAACAATGGGCATTCAATCTTCTTAGATCAAACATTGCTGCCACAAGTAAATCTTGTGAAATTAAAACGAATGACAGTCTGCTTCTTCACGAAGAAAAGTTTAAGAATAAATATGATAAACGTATATACCCAAGAAACTTCTGGCTTCTCGGTCAGTAACATTGGTTTGGAAACTGAATCAGAAGCTTGTTCATTTTCCTTCTTCGTACTCTTCTTCTTCTTCATCTTCTTCTTCTTCTTGCTTTTAGTTTTCTGGTATAAAAAACAAACTCAGCTCAGTAAAGAATATTTTGATATCTTGTTTGGATAAAACCATTGCAGCGAGAAGCTTCAAGCTGTGGTGATCATAAGGATACATTGAATGAAAACTTCACTTTACTAATCTAGAAGACAGAAGGAGATCACAATGACGATGATAAAGCTTACCTGGGAAAGCTCTGGTTTTTCAGCCTGTAAAGGTTCTGGCTTCTCAGTTAGCATCTTCACAATCACATTCCGGTTCAAGTCTTTTTCTACAGAACCCAACTCAGAGAAAAAATCATCCTCAAGATGACTAAATAACGCAAATGCATGAGTTCTCACTCCTGAAAGCTCAAACAGATAAGAATCAGCATTTTCAAGAACACTATTCTTAATCATATCCAGGTTCTGGTTAACAAGCGTACCTACATCAGATTCTGAGCTATCAGAACACTGTGGAGAACTTTGAAATTCCCTGTTTAACAGTTTGATTCCTAGTCCATTTCCAGTTCCAGGTAACCGCAAGCTACTCAAATTCAGATTTCCGTCACTGAATCTACAAAAAAGAAGAAACTCCATTGTTTCTAAGCTAAATTATCAAAAAATAAAACCCTAACAAAACAATGTCGAACAACCACAACACTAACAAAAGTGAGAAATATGAAATCAAACCTCACCTATCTTGTAAAATACGCTTCGAAATCGCTGCAATTTCACCTGAGATACAGCGAATCAGACATCTCGACAAGTTTCAATTTCAGGGATTTAAACATCTGTGAACATCTCTCAGAATCAATATAGGAAGAAGATGAAAGAATAACGTACAATATCGGCTTAAAAGGGAGCTATATCTTCCATGGAACAAAGGCTTAAGAGAAGCTCGTATTCTCACCGCGAACATCGTCGTCGCTCCACCGAAAGCAAGAGAGGGGGAAGCTACACAAATCTCTAACGTTGATGGGACTTTTGAAACGGCGCCGGCTCTCTAGCTGGGCCTTAATTATTGGGCCTTTATTGTAGAAATATATGGTGACCGATTTTTATATCATGTACGTAATTTCAATTGGGCCTTCTTATATGATTTACCGTACACAGATTTTGTTTTTCTTATCAAAGACTATACATAATACATCACTGTTATTTTTTTGTATTAATATACATCACTGATTTGATTTGTTTGTAGTTCATACTTCATAGGTTTATATGATTTACTTACGGTAATTTTTGTATATTTAGTACCATGTCGGCGTATGAAGTGCGTCCGAGTTTGTGGTTAAAACGTAAGAATGGTCCATTCCATGAAGTTTAAAAATATTTATTCTTTAGAGTCTATATATATCTAAGTACGTATTAAAGTATGGCCAGGCCACGGGTAAAAAAGGGAATAAATAAAGAGACAAAAGTGCATGGCATCACGTGAGCCATTTATTGTAATGGTGACTGGTGACTATGGACCAAATCGTACTTATAAACGTGAGATAGCGACCCTCTTTGTCTTGCCTTTTTTTAATTTATTTTTTTTGGGGTAAATACGGTTCGTACGTCTAGTAAAATCTTTCAAGACAAAAGCCAAGCAGCCATCTTGTTTTCTTGGTCAAGATCCAACGGTTGTCCAAAGTCGTTGGAGTCCCTTTGTCTTATGATCTCAGATTCTTTTTCTTCTTCCGTTAACAACCACGACAAAACCGAATCAAGATCTTCTTTTTGGTCCCAAAGGGTTTGACCTTCTCTCCAGCAAAAGTCCCAGTCGTCAGCCATCGGTTCGACATTTTCATTCCCAGCGTAGCTCTTTCCGTACGGCTCAGCGTTTTCTACGTTGTTCGACTCAGATGAAGACACGTGGACAGCGTCAGGCTCGTTCAATAAAAAACAAGAATCGAAGATGTCGTCATTGATACACAAAACTCCATCGTCCCCATTAATGCTTGGGTTACAACAACCATCGTCTCCATAGCCACATGGTCCTAAACCAGGTTCCTTGGCTCCACCGAAGCTACTACTTGACAACGCCATTAATGCGTCTTCTTCTTTCTCTCCCTCTCCATTCTCTATCGTTGTAGTCGGCAGAACGATTTTGTTTTTCTGGTGGTTTGCCTTCAAGGAAATAGGGTCTTTGTGGTGGTTTCTAGGGTTTGGGATACGTTTGGGTTTCATGGCGGATCTGCTGGTTCTTCCGGGTCTACGCTTCGGAGCATTCTCGACGACATTAATGACAGTTGGTTTCCTGAAGTAGCTATGAAGTTTACGGCTGAGATGAGAATTCCAATAGTTTTTTATTTCGTTGTCTGTTCTTCCCGGGAGATTGTTTGCAATTATTGACCACCTGCAGTTTAGCCTTAATTATCAACATAATTTTCCTTAAACAATTACTTAGTATAAATGATGTTTAATTCAAAGTATAGAACCTTAGCTAGTCAGTAGTCATTTTTCATTTAGTTCATCAAAGTATGATCGTAACATTTAGCGAAGGTATAAAATATTCATCTTGTATGCAAGTCTCGATCAATTGGTAAAACTGAGCAAACAAATGGTACAATATCATCATTAGTACGTTACGCAGCGACCGTTTGATTTAATTTTGATTAATGGTTCTTTCACGTGATTGTGTACTCTACTGGCTTTCTATTGGAAGTAGTAAAGAAAGTTACCTGTTACCTAAAGTGGAATGCAACTTAACAATGAGGTCCTCTTCTTCGGGAGTTATGTTTCCTCTCTTGAGGTCTGATCTCAAATAGTTTATCCATCTCAGTCTACAGCTCTTTCCACATCTCTTTAGCCCTTTTTAATATTGAAATCAATTCAAAAAAATGATAATCAACCAACCACGTTATTATTTAAGGAATAAAAAGTCAACGATTATTCACTATACTATATTTATAGAGAGAGAGAAAGAGCTTTTGTGTAATATAAAAAAAGTTTTTATTTGTATACAGTCATATAAAATGGCAAATGAAATAATGTCTGAGAACAAGAAGGCAAATTGGTCTGAATAAAATAATATATGACCGCAATTGCATAAATATTTATATATTATTCCCAATGTTGACGACATGAAGATGTTTTTGTGTTTCCTTTGTAATATTAATCTATGCATTCATAGGATAGAAAAGGATACATTGTAAATAAACTTAAATAAATCAGGGATCTACTACACAAAACCACTACTTGAGATTAAGTGTTTAATTGTCAGATTATTATTAACAATAGGAATAGAAAACAGTCATTACTGTAGTAATACTACATCTAAATACTTGTTTCGTTCTATACAAATTTTCCGATCAGTATTGTTCACACCTCATATACAATCAAACATTTTTAAGTACCAGCAGTTGCATAGATAAAATAAGTTACCGGCATTTTTGGGAAGAGAACGCCACGAGCCTTCGCCGTTGGCCTGAATGTAGTCTGAGAGAATCTGGTCTTCCTCAGCCGTCCACCGCCCCTTTTTCATTCCGACCTTCTCACAGCACGGCGCTCTTCCCATTGATCTCTCCGGCGATGATTAGGTTTCACTCACTTCACTCAACCCCTAGATAGAGTCAAATCAATATATAGAGAGAAGTATGTAAAGTGACGACACCACAAAAATGTGATTGATGTGGTATTCAATACTTATAGGAATAGAGAGACTAGAGAGTAGAGAGGGATGGGGGCGGCCTAAGAGATGGCGACACGTATAAGGTATTCAGGTGATAGAAGGAGCCACGTTGGTCTATGTTGATACAAAAGTCGTGTCTCATCCACGGTCGAGAGATACTAACCAATTCAACCTGGCTAGCTCGTCCTTGCACTATATCATGCTGCTAACTATAGTTTTTATACATAATTTGTAACATGTTGTTTTCAAATTAGAGGTATATATGTCAAAGTTGTGTCTTGTATGCATACATAAGTAGTTCAGACAATAGAAAAATGTCGTATGTACAAGAAAAATGAAACAAAGAAAAGAAAAAATGTCCGATGTACGTATCGTATTCGAATCTTTATCAAAACATGCGTACATGGGTATCTTAGTACACTAGTATATATATTCTTTTCTCTTCAGCATCTCCATCAATTATACTGTTGAAATCGGATTCAGTTAATCATTTAACAATAATAAAATCAAATTCGTACTCTTCTTTATTTTTCTCAGTTAATCATTTAACAATAATAAAATCAAATTCGTACTCTTCTTTATTTTTCTCAGTTAATCATTTAACAATAATAAAATCAAATTCGTACTCTTCTTTATTTTTCTCAGTTAATTCTCTTTTTATATAGGTGGAAAGATTTGAGAACACAAAATTTGTTAAATTTTTTCACACATATATATATTTACTATATTGTCAGCGGTTTTATTCAATCAACAGTAAATGGTAGAGTAAATGAGCTGGGACCAGTCGTGTGTGATGTCTAGTGATGTGTATAAATAAATATCGTTCGTTGAAGATGCGTAGATTCAAAAGACCTGACATGACATGATTGTCCAAAACCAGCGTATATGTTTCTTTGCATGCAAATTATTAAACAACAAAAATATATGTATTTATTATCTTACCACTCTTTTCTTTCGTGTTTTAGGTCCATTATAGAGTCTATATTATCTTTTAACTTTTTCAATAACTTTTTTTTGTCATCACTTTTTCAATAATATTAAATATAAAAATTCTCAATTCTTAAATGTCGTAACCTAGATGACAAAAAAAAAAAAAATGTCATAACCTATATAAATATATATCTTACGATCTACTCTGCCATTTTATTTGTTTTTTTACTCAAATAAAAGTATTACAAATTTAATTTGGGTTAAGCTTAAGCATATAATTCATAGACCATAGACACTCTTTCATATAAAAAAACAATCTGAATTTAAATTAAATAAATGAATCTCTATTGGTGAACGAAAAGAAAAAATCTCGGTTTCATTTGGGCACCTGCGGATTGCAGGAGAGATACAGGCCTGCTTCATTCTGAATGGGGCCTGTTTTAGAAATATTATATATTGAACGACGAAAATATTTTTATACGGTTATTTCACGTTTTTAAGATAGAGTTACAGGCCTTCTATAATTTTAATGGGCCTGGTTAGAGACTTCAGATAAACGGCGCCGTTCCCTATAAAGTCGAAGAAAAGAACAGTCAGCGGTGTTTATCCACGTGGCCGAAATTGATTGGTTAAGTTTGTCAGCGACTTAATCCTGATTGGTTAAGCGTTGCAATGTACACGTAAACCGACCACGATGCTCGAATCATAGAATGGTTTTGGAATCGTTCCACGAAAGAAAGAGAGAAAGCGAAGTGATTCCAAGGACACATATGTTAAATCTGTGAGAGAGATTTCATTGTTTGAAAAATCGAAACGACGAATCTCAGGTTGGAGTAACCCTACTAGCTGCTAGGTCCTTGGGGAGAGAGATCCGATTCTCTCCGTTTCTATGGCAATTCGGTGGTCGGAGCTGTGTATCGTATTGTTCGCTCTTTCTTATGCCATTTGCGTCCTTGCCGGGTAAGTTCGAATCTTTCGATTCCGCAGAAGCATCTGTCTTATTAGTGCATAGAAATGTGAATGCTTAAAAAATGATTTCAGGAAGAGTTACTACGATGTGTTGCAAGTTCCGAAAGGTGCATCTGATGAACAGATCAAGAGAGCTTATAGGAAACTCGCTTTGAAGTACCATCCCGATAAGAATCAGGGAAATGAGGAAGCCACTCGCAAATTCGCTGAGATCAACAATGGTGTGTGTGTATATTTTCACGCTGCATCTTCTGATTCTGCTCTCTTTCATAACCCGTTTCTTGTTTTGAGATTTAACGTATTGGTGTTTGCGTTCGATGTAACAGCTTACGAAGTGTTATCGGATGAAGAGAAGAGGGAGATATATAACAAGTATGGCGAAGAGGGACTTAAGCAGTTTTCTGCAAATGGAGGACGAGGAGGAGGAGGGGGCATGAATATGCAGGACATTTTTAGCTCGTAAGTTTTTGAATGTTGTTGGCATTTCGTTTAAAGCTCATCTTACTTGCTGATTCTTTTACTGGAAGATCATTAGAATACAATCACTCCATTTTTTTTCACTTAGCTCAGTTTGGGATCTTTTATCTTCTCTAACTCATCGTAGCATTGAATTCGTGTGTATACATTTAAATTTGGTAATGTTAAGGGACTTTACTGTAGCGTCAATAGTTCCTAATTTGGATCATGTTTTACATTTGCGTTTAAAGGTTGCAGATTGCTAATTTGCAGAGATTATTGATGTGCTTAATAGGTTTTTTGGTGGAGGTTCGATGGAGGAAGAAGAGAAGGTTGTCAAGGGTGATGACGTGATTGTGGAACTTGAAGCTACTCTAGAAGATCTGTACATGGGAGGCTCCATGAAGGTATGTTAAGCTGCGTGTCCTGGATACTCGTCTCGAAATTGTTTCTTTGATTCAAATAATACTTAAATCAATAAAAATTTAGTGAAATTGATCTCATATTGCCATTCTTTATGTTCATGTGATGTTTGGTTAAGAGTAGATGAGTTTTTTTACATAGATGCGAATTAAAGGAATTGCCTTAAGTTCTCAGTGAGGATGTTCCACATTTAAATATATCAGGTATGGAGGGAAAAGAATGTGATAAAACCAGCTCCTGGAAAGAGAAAGTGTAACTGCAGGAACGAGGTTTACCACAGACAAATTGGTCCGGGAATGTTCCAACAGATGACAGAGCAGGTAAAGGACGAATCCCTTTAAGTATCACAGATGGTCTTGTTCCGCCTAATATCTGTTTACCGATGTATCTTCTTATTCCCCCTCAGGTCTGTGACAAATGCCCTAATGTCAAGTACGAAAGGGAGGGATACTTTGTGACAGTTGATATCGAGAAAGGAATGAAAGATGGAGAAGTAAGTCTCAAAATTATACTACCCTTATTGTAAAATCATTAGATACTACATTTCATAGTAGCCCTTTAACTCATTTTTGATTATTTATGAGCTCGTCGACTTCTCCTATTGTAGTTTCTTAATACCAAATACTTTTCAGGAAGTGTCTTTCTATGAAGACGGTGAACCCATTCTCGACGGTGAACCTGGTGACCTTAAGGTTAGGCTCTTCCCTTAATTTCAGTATCTTTATTTCAAGTAAATCGGAGAGAATAAACCATTGTTGTACATTTGACAGTTCCGAATCAGAACTGCACCACACAACCGTTTCCGAAGAGATGGCAACGATCTACACATGACAGTTAACATAACACTAGTAAATAAATTCCACAAACTACTACTGTATCTCTACATCTTAGACCAACAATTGTTTCATTTTCTGAATATACCAAATTTCCCTTCTTTAGGTTGAGGCTCTAGTTGGTTTTGAGAAATCATTCAAACACTTAGATGATCACGAAGTTGACATCAGTTCCAAGGTAACACAAATATTCTTCTCCATACACGCAGAACACTTGAAACAGTGACCATCAGTTATCATCTAAGGGGTTATATATTGTGTGGCGACAGGGAATTACAAAGCCTAAGGAAGTGAAGAAGTTCAAAGGAGAAGGGATGCCACTTCACTACAGCACAAAGAAAGGCAACCTCTTTGTCACTTTTGAGGTTTTGTTTCCTTCTACTCTCACTGACGATCAGAAGAAGAAGATTAAAGAAGTCTTTGCTTAGTGTTGCTCTCGCGCTTTCTCTCTCACTCTTTAGAAGATTGGGGTTTAAAGAGGAGAACATGTGATGGTCCTAATGTAACATGACTAGGTTTTAATATAGAAAAGAAAGAAAAATATGGGGAGACAAAGAAGATGGGACAAGTCACAAAGGACTCCTTGTCAAGGAGGTTTTGATCAATTTGGTATTTTTGTTTGCTTTTGTTAATCATATTAGTGAATATTCGTGAATCATATTACACTCATGTGAATCTTTTTCCTGAGACGACATCAATGCTTTGCATATGCACAGCCTTGGGACACAACTATCTCGTCGGAACAGCTACTTCCGTCTACACGATCTGGTGTGTGCTTAAGAAATCCTGAAATTCGATAATTTAATAATAAGGGGATGAAGTTAGGTTTTAGTTGTTGTGATGAAACAAATAAAAGTCCAACAATAATATCCACAGCACAGCAGCACTTAATTTGTTCCAAGAAACGTGGGAGACTCACCAAGTTCTTTAGGCGTTTTCTCAACTTCCACGTGTCCTCTCGATAGCGTTCTACTCAGAAAAGTCCCTTTTAATTAGTCCAAAACTAATCGTAATTTGAAAATCTTAAAATGAAAACCAAATGAAATAATTACTTGTTCTGAAATTGATGAAGGTGTGTGTTAAAAGTTGGTTCACCTGCTTTCTCAACATATAATACCTATATTATTTGCAGTTACACGTTGAGACATGAGAGACATCTCTATCAAAGGAAGATTGATCGGACGAGGAGACTGAGAAAAGGACCAAAAACGACGGCACATTCATTCAAACTTGCACGCTAACGCCTGTATTTTATACGGTCCCGTATACGTATGCGTATACGTTCCTCTGTAACATAAACAAACGAAGAAGATGAAATTATAAGGAAAGAGTTTAAGAAATGGAGGGTGTTTTCTTAAAATTGTCGGTGCGAGGAGTATCTCCGATGATTCCGGTGGGACCTTCCTTGATTCGCGCCATCGGAGGCTCTGTGGAAGAGGACAAATCAACGGCTGGATCTCTGCCTATGAAGAAAACGGTGTCGCGTCGTCGTCGTCGTCCGCTTGAGTTTCTTAGGATCGGTAACAGAGAGGAGAAGGGAACTGTAAGAGACGACGCCGCCGTTTTGTTGGAGAGACAGGATCCGAACGTTAACGAAAACTGGGTTTTTAAGATTTTGGAGGTTGGATCAATCTGGAATGGGAAGAGACAACGATCAGGAGGCGGTGGAAAAGACGACGATGACGAGGAAGTTGTTGAATCGAACAAGAGTAAGGAAGATTTGTGTGAGGAATGCGATTTCTGCAGGATCAGTGATGATGATGAAGAGAAGGACGATACTGTGTTTGGAAGAGAAGAGTTCTCGGAGATGTTAAGCAAAATTCCTGTTAAAGATGCACAGATGTTTGCCAAATTGTCGTTTTTGGGAAATTTGGCTTATTCGATCCCTAAGATTAAGGTCAGTCACCACTTGCGAGATTGAAACCAAAATCTCAGTTCTGTGTTTCTGCATTTGATCCTTTTTGTGTTTTCACGTTTGTTTTCCTTGTTACACAGCCTGAGAATCTGTTGAAATATCAGAAACTGAGATTCGTGACTTCCTCAATTGAGAAGAGAACGAGTCTTAGGGTTGAGGAGAACAACATTAGTGGCGAGGAAGTGGAGGAGGAGGAGAAGAAGCTTATTAACCCAGCTGTTGCTTACAGGGTTGCTGCTTCTGCTGCATCTCGTCTCTTTTCCCATTCTAAGTCTGTGCTTCCTTTTGGATCCTCTAAACGTCAAGACAGTGAAGCTTCTCTCTTGGCCACTGCTGATTCGGTTACTGCAGTCGTCGCAGCAAAAGAGGAAGTTAAGCAGGCAGTCGCAGATGATCTCAAATCAAACCGTTCACCGCCTTGTGAATGGTTTGTATGCGATGATGATAAAAGTGGCACCAGGTTCTTCTTTATTCAGGTAATATTATCTTTGTTATTAGAGGAGTCTTTGATTGGTCTGGCATTTGCAAAAAGATAGATATAGCTTAAGAAACGAACTCAATATATTACAGGGATCAGATTCACTGGCCTCGTGGCAAGCTAACCTTTTGTTCGAGCCAGTTCCATTTGAGGAGCTTGATGTGCTTGTTCACAGAGGCATATACGAAGCTGCAAAAGGAATATACGAACAAATGTTACCAGAAGTTCACGCCCACCTCAATTCCCGTGGCAAGAACCGTGCTTTTCTTAGGTTTAGTGGACATTCTTTAGGAGGAAGCTTGTCACTGCTTGTGAACCTCATGCTTCTGATCAGAGGTCAAGTCCCGGCTTCTGCTCTGCTCCCTGTGATCACTTTTGGTTCACCTTGCATCATGTGCGGAGGGGATAGGCTTCTTCAGAAACTTGGTTTGCCTAAGAGTCATCTTCTCGGAATCTCAATGCATAGAGATATTGTTCCCCGAGCATTCTCCTGCAACTACCCTAACCGAGCCGCAAAGCTTCTAAAGGCATTGAATGGAAACTTTCGAAACCATCCTTGTCTGAATAACCAGGTAAAATATGAAGAAAAAAAAACATCTTAACTTGTTTGCTTGAGATCGTTGTGTCTTGGCTTACTCTGTTTGCCTTTTTTTATCTGCAGAATTTGTTGTATTCTCCAATGGGGAAGCTTCTAATTCTGCAACCATCCGAGAGATTCTCTCCACCACACCCCCTGCTTCCTCCCGGAGGTGGTCTGTATCTCTTAGCATCTAAGAATACCGACGAAACAGAAAAAAGACTCAGAGCTGCAAAGATTGTCTTCTTTAACTCACCACACCCCCTAGAGATTCTCAGTGATCGTCGTTCTTACGGGTCAGAAGGGAAAATCAAAAGAAACCATGACATGAGCTCTTACCTGAAGGCCTTGAGACATGTGGTCCGGAAGGAGCTGAAGCAGATAAAGGCTGAGCAGGATCAATGGAGGCGCAAGTTCTTAATTATAAACATTTTATTTAGTGGGAGAGATTCTTTGAAACTCTTAACAAGATTTGTCGCATCAAGGAGTAGTCAACTAGTGATCATCTTCTTTCTCCCTATTAGATTGTTAATTATGAGTGTCTATGGTGTGGTCTTTCACCATTCACAAACACATTTTAGTTTCTTTAAGTGAAGCTTAGAGGCCTATTCTGTAATAGAATCCATCACACATCAATTATTTTCAGATAAGACGGGAACAATCTTAGTATAAGAGAAAAAGGAGCAAAGGAACACACATAAATTATTTTCAGGATTTCACAGAAATATGTTTGGAGCCTTGTCCAACTGACATATAATATTACAAAGGTGATTTTGGTGAAGAAAGGCAAGAGATTTTATTAGGGGGCATAAAAGCTCAGACCTTTGTAACAAGATGGGTATGAGGAAACTAGAGATTCAACTTCCCAGCTAGATACCATGAATGCATAGCAAGGCTTCCAAAGGAGAAGATGTTAGCAAGTGATGATAACCCGTGAATCATTCCAAACTTCTTGTTCATGGCAGCTAGCTTTGGGATAGTCTTTGCCTTTTCCCTGTTCTTGGACCAACCAACTTCATCTCCGATGTTGTTTTCTCTCTCTACTTTGTGCCTTTGCTTCATCATCTACACCAAAGTTAAGATCATTTTGGTCCTTCATAAGGATCTCTCTCTCTCTTGTATGATGCAATAATGGTAAAAAGGAGGATCCAACTTACATTGATGGTCATGGGAGTGAAGACAAACAAATTGGTGAGATTGAAAGCAAAAGCGGAAAGGAGGAACCCTAGCTGATACTTCTCGACTGTAGAAGATGACTTCCATGGATGCAAATAGCCAAAAGAAGACAGTGAAATTGCGCAGCAAGAACCAACCAAAGTGAAGTAAGCTGGAAACATCTTGCTCTGGAGATTACCGAACTGATGCCTCGGCAAATTCCTGATCAATCGCAAAAAAAAAAAAAAAAAGGAATTTTCTAATTCGACGATTCGTAATTCGATTAAAATGAGTTGAGGATAGAAGAGAATTCGTACTTGAACATGATGATTCCACCGATGAAGGTAGCCCAGAGAGCAGCTCCCCAAGCTGTAGCGAAACTGAGCAGATGAGATAGCTTCAGGAAGATCGAAAGCTTCGCCGAATTCTCTCCATTTGACAGCGATCCGAATGTCTCCGGCGAGAATATAACTCCGACGGCTAAGAACGCCACCGCTACTATGAAACTGGTAAGCCAACCCATCGCCGATGATTGTTTCCCGATCACTCTTTCTCTTAATTTGTTGTTGGCTGAGATCCCAAAGACGCGACACGTTTTTTTCTTGTTAACGTCAAAATGAAGTTGTTGCCATCTGCATTGACTAAAGTACCCCTTGACTTGGAAAGATCTGTTGAAGCTGAGGTTTTCTCCTTGGTGTGGATCAAGTGGTCAAATTATCTTGTTAGTTAAATAAACACAGTTGATATATAAAATACTATTTGCAAAAAAAAATATATTAAAATTAGTCATAAATTCATATAATCTGTAAATTTAAACACTGTAAATTTAAACACTTTTTTATTGAAAATTTTTAAATTAAAAATCAAAACCTTAAAACTTAAACTAAGTTTTTTTTTTCAATAAATAAAAGTTTTTAAAGAAATGTAAGAATTAAATTTTTGCAATACATGAAAACATGTTGAACTTATACACTAAACTGACGGACCACAAAAAGACTGAATGCTAAGTTCGGTTAGTTTTTTTTATGTATCTAAATTTTAAACTTACATTTTTAAAAAACTTTTGTTTATTGAAAAAAATTGACTACTAAATAAAACCCTTAAAACTTAATTAAGCGTTAAATTTACAATACATGAAAATATGTTAAACTTTTACACCACTGACGGACCATAAAAGGACTGGGTGTTAGGTCTGATTTGTTTTCAATATATTTAAATTTAACACTTAGATAGTTTAAGACATTTTATATAGTAAAAAAATTTACTTAAAAATCAAAATAATTTACTTAAAATATTATTTATAAAAAACTTTAAGCGTTAAATTTAAAATACTTGAAAACATGTTGAGCTTTTACACCAAACTTACGGACCACAAAGGGACTGGATGCTAGGTCCGGTTTGTTTTCAACATATTTAAAATTTTCACTTAAAAAAAAATGGTTAAATTAAAAATAAACTTGTAATTTGAATTATTTGGTAAAACCTTGATATTTAGTTTTGAATCATAAAATTGAGAAGTGGAAAAGCATAAAATCTTTTGCTTTCTTTATAGATCTTAAAATCAAAATCATTATTCTTAATTTTTTTTTTAAAAGGTTAGAAAATATACGTGCAAGGCTGTGATGTCTCGGGCATCTTGAGAAAGGCGACTTGGTGGTTGTTCTCAAATTTGAAACCACAAACGAGAGGGAGCAGCTACATGATCGTTACACATGATACAAAACAAACCCATGAGAATTAGAAATGTCATTACCACAAATTTAATTAGTTCTCCAAATCAAATTAAAAAGATGACGAGTATAATTACGAACCTGGATTCATCTTATGGATTAATTGGTTCTCTTGTCCAAGTAGAATTAGACGTTGACATACAATGATATGATTCTCCTTCACTTACGGTTCTTGCATGCTCTCTTCCTTATATATTCCTTTCTCTCGTCTTATAAAGCTTCTTGAGGACACGTGTTTCGCAGTTGTTTCAAAACATCATAGTAATGAGAAGCAACATCAACTAGCCAGTGAATAACCCACATGGAAAAAAAGAAGAATATTTTAGAAACAAAATCTTTCACGAGATATTAACCAAAGAAAACAATAAGAGGAAATGTAAGAACTTACCATTCACCGTGAATAGCTGTCACAGTTCTGATGAACTTCCGGCTAGTCAAAAATCATACCCATTCAGGTTTGTGATCCAAGTAGTTTGATGGATGCAAATGAACCACCTGTAAACCAAGAATTTTAACCCAAGAAAAAAAAAAGTTCAAATGGAAACAACAATACCAACTGAATTTAATTGTTTTGACATACTTGGTTGTCTTTAACTGTCAAGTAATGGACAATGCGATCTAAGTGAGCAACTTGCAAGAACCGGCAAGCATGGCCTTCATTATGTTGACGTAGTAGTTAAAAATCAAAGCTGCACATCTTCATGTTTGAACCTTGACAGTCAAAGACAAACCAAGTATAGATAGATAGATCATAGAATTATATTTCGCTGTAGTGTTTACAATAAGAATTTTTTTTTGAGTTTTCTCTCGAGGAAGAAGAAAGACAGAAGAAGAAGCGTTGAGAGAAAAGAGTATTTTAAAAGAAAGGGAGAAAAGGAGGAAACTGAGTTATCATTTATCAATCACAACGGTCGTATAGATATTTTAAGGAAATAAGCTAATGAATTAAGTTTATGTTATTTCCTTTTTTTTCTTTTGTTTATCACAACGGTAACAAAATATTACTACCTTTTGACTGTTTACAACAGTCATCACAAGGTAACTAATGATGTCCTACGAAAGAGCTAACTAAGCACTTCCAAGGGACTTAAAGACCCATCTAATCATCTTTATATATATGTGTTCGGTCCATTACCCACAGTCGTAACTGGACGTTTTTGTTTTCCTGCCAACAAATATATTAATCCTCCCTTTCATGGGCTTTGTCTAGAGAATTGATCAGGAATATATAATTTGTCGACGTTGCTTAACTAACCCACCACAATATATTGTTAGTTAGAAGGTTTGATACACATGATCATGTCTTTTGTTAAAACTTAGAAGACAATGATATATTCTTTGTCATCCACTAAAATTAAGAGAACGTCTTTTCTAGTAAAATATCATCGTAATGACTTGGTTTACTGGTATAGTAGTATCAGATAATTGATTTCGGCTAAAAAGATTAGTCATTAATTAGCTGAAAACATCATGTTTTTGGCCACATACCATATTAGAAAAGGTATAGTTGTTAAGTATTCTGTAGATGTACTCAATAGTGTGGTTGTTGGATGACTATGACAACATCTATATCAATGCTTGTAAAAGCTGTAACTTGAGATCTAATTTCTAAGTTTGTTTTAACTTGTAAAACCCGATCTAATATTCTGTCATCCACTATAAACATAATAATATACTAACTAGTTTATGAGCTTGTTTTTGTTGGCTCGAGATGCGTTATCATATGAAAAGGATAAAAAATAAAAAATACTAGTCCCATCTCTCTGTTCTTTTTCTGACCAAAGTCGAGTACCTTACTGTCCTTTTATGTTAATATTCCTATTTTTTCTCCTATATTTAAAAATATATACATTTGTTTTCGGAATTCTCAATAAGGGCATCATTATCGCTACATCTTTAGGAGTCTTCATCCAATTAAAAAAGGTCAAAATAAACAAACAGTGAAATTATAAGGGGCATTCGAGTTTTAGCTAAGACTCTTTGAGAGAAGGTTCTTTTGCCAGATGTTGATACGTGAGTGGCTGTAAATTGTAAATGAAAAATTAATTTTGTTGGGAAAAAAAATCCCAAATCGATATCTCTGAAAATCTAATCTCTCCACCTCTCTGCTCCCCGATGTCGACGATTGCGAGACTACTACTCGCCTTGTTCGGATTCTACTGTCGGGACCGACGATGGATTCACTTTCGGCATTACTTTTGCGGCCGAAGATTCTTTCTTCGGTACAAATCGTTCCGTTCAGTACTCTCCATGTGATCGCCGTCGATTCTCTCTCAACGGTAACTCTGAGGTCGCTGTGTTCAGACCTAAGGTCGATGAGATCACACTCCTTACCATCAATACCTCTAGTTCCTCCAGTTTCCGCCCGGTTCGTGACTCAATTTAACATTACTTGCATTGAGATTATATTCAATTTAACCATAGGTACCAAAGTTTTAGGATTTAGTCTCTGTTCTTGGAAGATGTGTTCATACCTTTCTCCATTTGTTTCAGTGAAATGAGAGGTTCAAAACAGAGATTTTGGCATGTCAAATTCATGTTACACCATAGATTGTTTCGAAATTACTATAAGGTTGCTTATCCTTGGAAGCAAAGGTCTTGAATGTGCTAGCCTATCAAATTATTGGTTTGTCTGATGTTACTTTGTGATTTCAGGATGCTTCAAAGGGATATATGGTAGCATTCGCTGGTGCAAAATACACTGCAAGATCAGTGCCAATTATGGTTGTAGACAGCAATCATATCGTGACAAGTTTCACCCTTGTAATTGGATAAAACTCATATTAACAACCTACATTTTCATTTTCTTATAGACACTAAATAATTGTTGTAGACGCTCCTTTAATAGATATTTTATTTTGTGTCTTGGTAGTGGGTGTAGTATGTTGAAATTACTGAGTTATGGCTCTCCCTTTATTGAAGATATGAACGTTTTGGAGTTGGAGTTGGAATTGTATTTGATGTTTGATGTGCTTGTTTTGGTTTACTGCAGTGATAGCGCTCGTTTCCTACGGAAAACAATACCTTTGGTTATCAAAGAGAGGAAGCCTGAAGTTGTTGCAACTTGGAAGATCGGTCAGAACATG